AGATTTTGGTTTTTTATTACACAGTAAATGCTGCTTTCTGAAATATCATCCCTATTGCATTATGACAATATTAATGACGCAGAGCTTTATATTTAATGCATTTTAAACGCAAAAACATGCATTTAAATCCAGTAAATCTCAGTCAACTCTTTGCGAAATATTTAAAAATTATCAAAGCTATATTTCCTAAACTGAAAGTTTGCACAATGGAGGACTATATAATAAGATTACCAAAAAAGATCTTATTATATAGTCATATTTTTCTATAACCCGTATAATTAATGTTGCGTAACTTTCTCTTTAGGGGGTTTCCACACTTACTATTTGTTTATGCTAACTTCGCACCAATACACAGGATATTTGGTAATGTATTGACACAGCAATGACTAGTGTATTGAATTAACATTGGACACCGAACCCTGGCCCGGGCCTGCATACAGTGAAAGCATTTATTTCCAGTTCCACTTCCCCTCCATTCATGAATGACTTTGATTCAAACTGTTATGACACTCAGTCGTGACCCAACCCTCACACAGAAAGATTGTACAGATTAATTTAAAAATGGGACATTTTGGACAAATTATTGAACCAAGAATCTCTTGTTACACTTACAAAATGTGCCATTTCCTAAATGCACTTTAAATACCAGTGTGGTTTGTTTTTTGTTTTTTATGTGGTGAATTGTTTCTTTTCCAGAGAGCAAAACGTCAAAGCAAACCAACAAAACCAGTGGTAAGTCTGTGCATTTTTTTGTATTAATGCTAAGTAATGGCTGTTCTGTGGCTCTAACAGCTGTGCAGATTTTATTCTGTTCTGTTGGTTGCACAACCTGAACTGCACAACAAGCTTCACAGTCAGGGGAAACAACCACCACTGCCTCTCAGGATATCTTCAGTAACTCCACTGTGGGATTTTCCCTTCAGGTTACTTCAGTCTGTAGCAGTTCCCTGGTAACATACAGTAATTCTTGGACAAACCACAGCTTTCCTAAATACCACTGAGGTGGAAGCCTGATGTGGCTGTCTCTGCCCCCTGCCTGTCGCCTTGTCCTGCACTAATGTGGCCAGCATTAACCAGATTGGTCTCAGTAGGCACCAGCAGTCCCTAAGTAAACAACAGGAGGGCACAGACACCATGCAGGGAACTGCTTTGTGTTGTTTCACTGACTTGATGCAGGAGAAGCAGTAATATATATATAAAAAAAAAGAAAAACAAGGACACCACATTGGCAGTAAGTTCATATGCATGGCTCGCTGTTCTAGCTAGATCTGAACATTGGCATCAATGTAAATGTGGCAACTGGGAAAGATTCATACAGGTGGCAAATCTACAGTAAACTGTAATTTATTTATTTTTATTTCTATTTTTGCAGTCAGTTGATTTGATTGACGTCTTGTATTTTTACAGTAAAACAGGGCTTTGCTCCCATGTGACGAGAATCTCCTGTGAATCCTCCAGTTTGATGCTTCCTTCTCCAACCTTTAAGTTATTCACTTATTTTTTATGTCTCCAGCTGAAGGTGACAGACTACCTTGTTAAGTGTTCAGTGGTGTCCCGCTATGCTGTTACTACAGTCCAGAGTTCAGTGTGGAACCAGCTCCCAATAACTAAGGAA